GCAGGAGCTATTCTCCAAAAATGTATGACAAAACAGTTTCACATTCATGTCTGCTGAACATGATGACAATTAAACTGTGATTAAGAAGTCATTTCTCCAGTAAGCGGAAGGTACCTTCAGTCAGTAAACTGGTCTTAGAAAAAACATGCCAGTTAAAGAGATAACAAAACTTATACACCGACACACAACACAGACCTACCCTCATGCCCATATAGAAAGGGATGACCGTGACACGGATGTTCTCTGTGGTTTCTCGGTGCACATCGGAGAGCTCCAGCCAGGGGTGGTTCTTCTCCTGCCACGCACACAGTGTATCCCTTGCTACAAAAGGTGGAACTGTGCGGAGGGAAAGATGAGAGTTTATAAGGAGAGGCATACCATAAGCGGAGTGCTTTCCCCTCAAAGCAACTACTTTCATGTAGTTACAAAAATTATTTAAAGAAGGCTTTACTGTAACAGACCCTAAACCAGACCAAGACTTTTTGACCGAATCCAAGCTGATGGGTTGTGTGTACTTGTCATAGAATACCTCAAGCACCTGGCTCTGAAGATTTCCCTCTGAAGCCAGAAATTACCTTTTGTTTGGTCGTACATGAGGAACCTCTCAAAGAGCTCATGCTGGATGGGCACTTGATCAGTGGAGCTGTAGGGAAGGATATCTTCATGGCTTACGTAATCTAAACCTGAAAAAAACCACACCCCAAAGCCATTGAACTTCTCCATCGAAAAGCAGCTCAGAAGTCTCCTGGCAGAAAAATGGATCACACTACTAAGATGTTAAGAAAAGGACTTTGGCAGCAGAAGCCAAAGCTAATACCATGGTTGCAAGCAAGAATGGAAGAAATAGGCCAGCGATAACCCTCGGCAGTATTCTCCTGTGAGACTTCTCCACAGAATGATTTTCTGATAAATACACACTGCCTGGGAAGTGACTGGACTGATACAAAAGGACCTGTGGCAGGAAATGCACGGGACAGGAAGAGACCTAGCTGTCCCGGTAGTAAAGTACAATAGCCCACATGCAACAGGGTACGCGCATGGGATTTATGTCTTAAGAGCTCAAAGTAGGCATGCCTGTGTCTGATCAGAGTCTGCCCAACTTCCATCTGTCCAAAAGGGTTTCATGTACTTTAGTCATTCTGTTGTTTCTAGCAAGGCCCTAAACCACAGACAGTACCACTACAGGACCGTCCTGTGGGTGCTGCTGCTTCACTGGCAGAAGTTGACTGTCAATGACTCTTCTGACCTCACCTCATGACAGTCCACATCTCCACAGAAGTTGAAAGTGCATTTTACTCACCTGGTATGGCATAGAGGGCTCTGCTGTCATCGTGATTTGCCAGGAACGTCACTGCTTCCGTCTGTGATCTCTGGGACTGAGAAAAAAGGAGGTTTATGTCATTTTGTTGGACTGTTGTAGGCCAGTTTCCAGTCACATTTCAGTTTACTATGGTAGTTTCTAAGGTGTGTACCGTCAATTTTATTCAACCAATTCACCTCAGAACATCTTTCCTTTTAAGTCCTCTAGACTAATTCTCCACTCAATTGAAGAGCATTTTCAGTGCTGCAACCCCCATTCACAATGACCTGTGCACCA